TGTGTAAGCTGATGTGGGCCTGACCCTTCTGGCACTAACCTAGCCAGAAAAAATAGTGGACCATGAGTGACGGGGAAGAAGTTGATCAACCTGAGTACCTATGAGAGGGAATGAAACTGGTCCAGAGATTTTTGGCTGATTTATCTGAGATGTAAAGAGGAGTAAACAGACAATCTAATATTGCACCATCATGAAATTCCTTACAAAATAATTGTTGTTGCGGGGAAATGCTTCTAGTAGAACACTAGGCATATAAAAAAGATATTAAACCATCGACACTCTCAACCATTTAAAAATAATACATCTATATTTCTCTGTGTGCATATGTGGGAAAATTTTCTGGAACACCAAAGTGTTAACGTCGTCTGTAGGTGGGAGAATGACTGGTGATTTTATCATCTTCATTCCTTTCTATAGTTCTCCAACTTTTTAACAATAAACATGGATTCCTTTCGTGCTCAGAAATAAATATCAAACATCAGACATTGCCTCCAGAGCTCTACCCATGATTCTGGGGTGGGAGGCTTTTCCAGAAGGCTTCCTGGCCATTCCCTAGCTTCCAGGCAGCACCAACACCTGGGCAAGTTGCACTGACCGCGTGTGGAAGCTTCCTGGAAGCCTTTCCATGCCAGCTGGGGCACCTGCACCCTGCAAGGGATCCTGATCACTTTCCATCAAAGCCCACACCCCCTCACTGAGCACTCTTTAGCATAACCCCCTAAAGGTTGTCCCATCTTTTCCATCAAAAGCAACACCAGCCCTTTGCTTTGTCCCTCTAAGCCCACTATTAATTTTCTCAAGGAACCCATTTCTCTATTCTATTCTTTAAAGAGGGGTGATGGCTAAGAGCTCGTCTGGCCCCTTCTTTTACTTCAGAGGCTGGAGAGCAGGACTGAGAGGAGGAGGAGCTTGTGGCTGAAGGGCCGGAGCACCTGGGCCTGGTCTCCCTGCTGCAGTGCAGGGAGCTGGCCCTCGGGCTCCATTGCTTTGCACTCCTCCCAGACACTCAGGGCCTGTGACTAATCCGCCCTGAGAGGATCTGGAGATGGCCTACCTCTCCTCAAAGCAGAAAACATGACCAGAAAGCAATTGTCCTGAGGCTCAATGGCCACAGATGGTCGCCTGCCTGCTGGAGTGGAAGTGAGAGACACTTAGTTGTCTAGAGAAGCCCAGGCTGGGAGCGGGGGGATGGCTGGGGGTGGGGGGCGGGGAGGGAAGCGGGGGTGAAAGGAGGGGCGGGGGGGGGGGGTCGCTGGCTAAATGGATGCCTAACAGCAAACATGCCCTCATCTCCCAGATTTCTTTTCATGCGCTCTGGTCCAGCATGCTACCCACCCCCCCTACTCCCTGCTGTGCCTACCATCAGCAACTCAGCTGGGACACGGACAGAGGCAGGGCTGCCGGGGCTCAATTGCCCACTGGCATGAAGGGGACGATGAGCGTGGGCTGAACAGGTGCATGCACAGGCCACTGCAAAGATGAGGGGAGGAAAATCACCCACTGCCAGCCTTGGGGAAACTCCTCCCCGAATCCTGCAGCTTTGGGAGGCTGACTCAAGAGGCGCATGGCCCCCTGGCTAAGGGCACCTGTCAAAGCCTGGCTTCAAGTCCAGCTTCAGGTCCTGACAAGATGTCAGTCTGGGCAAGTTACTGAACTACTCAAATCTCAGTTTTCTATAGACCTGTCAAGAGAATGGGGATAAAAATGCCCTCTACTATGCGCATTAAATGAGGTAAAGCACACAGAAGCCAGCACTGTGCCGAGCTCTCAGTCCCTGGGAGCTAAACACCACAGGACACAGCCTTCCCAGGACCTCAGCACAGCACAGGCTGGAGTGGCGATAAGGAGGAACATGGAGAGAGCTGAAGGCAACCTCAGAGACCGCGCTTCTGCCCCTCCATTTACAGATGTGGAAGGGGAAGGCTCAGAGAGGTTGAATAATATATACAAGATTGCACAGGTATTTAGCGACAGCGAGGTTGAGACTCAGGTCTTTCTAATTCCGGAAGCCCAGCACAGGTCTGCCCACAGGGGGCTTTGGTCAGGAAGCCCCCACTGGCACTCCCCTCACACCTGGCCTCCTACAGTAGGCCACCAAGCAGCCGCTGAGTTCTTCCAAGAATCTTAGGTAAGGGGTTGGTGGGATGAGTGCTAGAGAACCGAGTAGCTGAGGAGGACTGGGCACTGATGAGCAATCATGTGGGGTGCTATGCAAACAGCATGCAAATGCATGTAAATAACCACTGGTTATTGATGAATCAACAGTTTGTACTTTTTTTTTTCCTGAAACTGGATCGCACTACACAATGTGAACCTGTGAAAGGAAATCTGGCCTGTGGTTGGCTGACCGAACTGTCCCTGGCTTAATGAGGGGTCCAGCCACCCCTCACCAGGATCTCACCAGTATGCCCCACGCATGTCTCCCCAGCACTTAGTATTATGCTCTGGGGCTCAGGGCTGCATTAGGGGAGGAGCCCTTCACCTTGGCCAAGCTCTGGAATCCAGGCTGCAAGAGTTAGGCTCCAGCAGCCTTTCTCCAGCTCTGCATAGGGACCTCTCGTGGGTGGGTGGGTGGGTACTCCAGGCCCAGTCAGGCCTGAGTGGGTGAGGCAGGTTCCGAGACAGAATTCCAAAAAGGTTGAGTCCACAGTAAGAAGGTTAGAGGTAAGACATCTGGAAGGCCTGCCTGAGGCTCCACCACCCCAATTCTGGAAACTCATCAATTCAGTCCGCATTTACTGAGTGTCTGTTCTGTGCCAGACACTGTGCTAGGCATTCCGGAGAATTTGCAGAAACAGACAAAAATGTGGTCACTGCCAGATTGCTGCCCTTCCACCAACAATCTTCCAGGGAGAACAAACAAATACGGATATAACTTAACAGAGCTTGACACCTCCCTGGAGAGGGTGTGCACGCGTGTGGGCATATATATATTGCTGTATAAGAGCCTGGGTGGGGGGTTGGGGGGCCCGGCTTGCCTATTCAGCCCCACTTTGTTAGTAATGCTAATAAAACTATAAACATAAATCTACACATAAATTACAGTTCGCATCTAGCATGTCAGACACAGCACTAAGTGCTTTCTGTGTAGGAGTTTATTATATTCTCCAGTCATCCCAGGTAGAGTCCCCTTTCATGGACGAGGAAATTGAAGCTTAAGATTAAAGGCGTTTAGTGACTATAGTAAAGTTGCTTTGACATTAAAAAGTGACTTTCCCAAGGCCACACAGTTGGAAATTCATGGCAAGGATTTGAATCCAGGCCTGTCTTCTTGGCCTCTATGCATGCCCCTGCTTCAGTGACACCCCCAAAGACAGGTACTCAGGATCCCCCAGCTCCTGGAGGCTGAGCCAGGAGCCAAAGGAGCTGCCTCCAGCAGGCTCTAGCTTGCAGTTCCTGCCAGCGCAGCCCTCCCCAACCCATCGGAGTGAGGACAGCGCATTCTACAGCCTGCGACCTCTGTCACATCAGGCCCAGGCCTTGGGCCTCCTTGGCACCTACTCAGCCAACAAAATTTCTTAAACGTCCTTCCAACAGCTACAAGGCTGTGGGAGTTTCCTAATGTGACAACACTGTCATCAGGTCGCACCCAGGGCCCAGCCCACTCTAATGGTTTGAGACCAGCTTCACCTGCCCGTGGCAGCAGATGCTATCCTGCCTTCCTTTCTCCCCCTGGGCTGCAGTCTCTGCCCCGCCTTCCCTGGGAAACCTGGAGGTTATGAGTGAGGTAGGCAGGGCAGAATCTGGCGGCTGGTGCTGGGACCAGGGAGATCAGGGAGGGCTCCGCATCCGGCCAGCTTCAGGTGACCCTAAGGGTCTTAGTTTCATCCCCCTTTACCAGCTCCTCCTCCACCTCTCTTATAAGATCATAGTGAGAATAGGAAAAAATGGTGCATTCAAGTGAGCTCTGAGAAGTTAAACATGCACAAATGTAATGCAAGCAGGAGAAACGTGGGTGCTTAGGCCTGCCCAGGCAAGATGCCAAGGGAGGCCAGAGGCCCCATGTCCCAGATATGGAAGCTACTCTGGGGATGGCAGGTGCCAGAGATGGTCAGAGATCCCCAGGAGAAAGGGAATCCATTGAAGACAAAATTGAAAGAGCAGACAAGCCCCCTCACAAGAGAGTCCAGGCAGGGCTGGTCCTGGCAGTGTGCCCAGGCATTCACTGACACTTAGTGGTCCAGGCACTGCCTGGTGATGAGATTATGGCCTGGCAGGCCCAGACAAGAAGCCCCAAGATGGACTGGACCCCCAAGTGAGGACTCCACCATCAGGCCACCACCCCAGTGCTGTCTCAATTCAATGTAAGCGCCTCTGTGTGATCAGCAGAGACACACTCTCAGTTTTGCAACAGAGAAGGAACATTAAGAACAGGCGCCTGCATTTCTCCCTCCCTCCTGGATCCTGCAATAGATCCCATAAGTGGGAGCTGGGCAGAGATATCAGATATGTGGGTTCAATAGGACAGCCCTGGAGGGTGGAGTTGGCTAGCACCATTCAGGAATAGGAGAGCTGAGGAGTGTCTTCAGGAAACTTGCTGGGTCTGGGGAGAAGTCTTCCTGCTCCTGGTGTGCCACCCCCAGCTCACCCTCACCCCTCCATAGCAATCTGTTCTGCCCCCTCCACTTCCCTGGGACTGGTGGCTCCACTCCCACCCAGTGCTCACTGTGACAATCTCAGTGGCACATCAAAAGCCCCTCCCCAGCCAGACAAGCATCCTCAGGGCCCTGGCAGTGAGGTGAGAACAGTGGCAGCTTCAGATCTCGGGTCCAGGGCACTGCCAGGTTCACATTCCTCTAGCCAGACAGACACCCCTCTCCACTCAACTGCAGCTCAGCCTGGCACTGCAGAGCAGAGGGCCACAGAGCGAGGACTGGGGCACGTGGCCCAGAGACCATTTGACTTAGACTGGTCTTAGTCTCCACCTATTACCCTCTCCAGGTGGCCCTCCAGCCACCCAGCACAGGGTGTAGTGGTACTTTGGGGAGCTCTGGACTCACCGGAGCGGGATCTTGACACGGAGGTATCGGTCCACAGCAATTGCCAGTAGGGCCAGGATGGAGCTCTGGGTGAGGATCAGGACCGGGCAGGCGACCATGAGGCAGGTGTAGAAGTAGGTCTGAGGCCCAATGTTGATGAGGATGGCGAGGGGGATGACCAGAGCGCCCACTGCCACATCAGCCACCGCCAGCGACACGATGAAGCAGAAGGTGGCATCCCGAAGTGCCTGGTTCACCTTCACTGCCCAGATCACCAGCACGTTCCCAGGCACGGAGACCAGGGCAATGAGCACCTCGATGCCAATGTAGGCGGCCTGGAAGGCTGTGATGGAGGGCGGCATGACTGGCACAGGCTGGGCACATCAGCAGACAAGCACCAAGGGGCACGAGGCAGGCACCTGTGGTCACGGAAGCCTGGGGTGGGGAGGACTGCCTGGAGCAGGGGAGCCCGGGAAGCTCTGGAAGTCCCGCTGCCTTTTGGAGCTGTGCGCCACTTGGCACAAGTAGTGCCCGCCTGGGCTGGCAGGGTAGCCCAGCCCTTCCTCTGCCTAATCTCTGTCCCCTCCCCTTATCCCCAGAGGTTCCATTCAGTAACTTAAAATAGCAGCTCTGGCTCCTCCGCTGGCTTTTTTATCAGGTGTGAGGCAGCTCCCAGCACACACACACCCCCCACAGGGGTCCCCCACACCTGCCTCTGCCCACCCATGCCCACAGAACAGGATGCAGGGAGCTCACCATCCTGCCTGCTGGCTGCCGGGGGGTCCCAGAGGAGAGGCCCAAAGTTCGGAGCACCTGGTGCCGCCCAGAGCTCGGGGGCTGCGCCGGGCAGGGCTGGGCGCTGGGCACCGCGCGGCAGCTCATGGTCCTCCCGGCTCCCGCCGCAGCGCTCCCAGCCCGGCCTTTCAAGCAATCACATGGTGCGGCCGAGGCTCTGCCCCGGACGCTTTTAAAGAGGTAGCGCCCTGTTTCGCACCTGGGACTGGGCGGCCAGACCCGGGTCTTGGGGGGCTGACCCCGCACCGCAGGCCGGGGCGCGGCTCCTCCTCCCCAGCGTGCGCGCACCCTAGCCCTGCGCCCACCCACCTGCGCCTCTGCAGGCGCCCGCTGCCCCGCGGCGCCCCGTCCCGCTCCAGCCGGCCGCGGACCCTCACCCACCGCCTGTCCCGGGGAGGCTTTCTCGCCGCTGCTGTCAGCCCTCTCCCGAGGCCTCACCGGGGAGCCGCGGGCGAACGGGGGACAGACTTACCCAAGGTCACCAAAGCGGGCAGCGCGCCTCGCCACCGGGATGGACCTGCCGAGCCCGGGGCGCGCTCGACGCCTGCGGCAGTTGCTCGCCTGGGGATGCCAGGACGGTGCGGGACCAGCCTGTCGGGTCCACGCGAGGGCAGCTGACTGGGGCGCGCCTCGGGCGCCGGCGCTCGGTCGCCCCCGGCGCGGGAGCTGAGTGACAACCCGGTTCCGCACACCGGGAGGGGGCGGGGGCGGCACCCTCGGGCCCCTCCCTCCTCGCCCTCCGTCTCCTCCCCACCCCCTCCTCTAAACAAAGGAAGTGATTCTGGGTGTGAAAAGCTGGAAAATGTTGAGCTTTTCGGAGGGGTCTGGGGCGTGAATCCAGCCTGGGGCGGGCAAGATGCAGCCTCGCCGCGGTTCACGCGCTCGGCCTCGCTGCGCTGCGCGGGGACCCTGCCCGGCCCCGGGGCCTCTCCGCCCGTCCCGGCACGGCGTCTCGCCAGAGGCCCCAGGGTGCCCCTGTCTGACTCCCCCCGCCGCAGCTAGTTTGGGGGACACTCCTCCACCCCTCCACTCTGAAACCCTGGTTTCCCTTGGAGCCAGCCCCGCGTATGCTCAGGAGCTAACCCTCCAGGCGCTTTTCTTGCGCGCTCTCTCCTGAGTCATTCTTTTCCTTTCGGAGCTGTCTTTTGACCTATTAGGGATTTCCATTTTACCGATGAGGGTACTGAGGCGCAGAGGAGTCACCTGCGTCCCCGCCCGAGTTCATCTCTGTCAGCGTCAGGCCCACCTTTTCCTTCCCTCCTCCCTCTTCACAGAGCAATACCCAAGTCACAGGGGACCCAGTACACCCCTCTTGTCCACCTCCCCAACACTATATAAAGATGCAGGTGCAGGCTCCGGGAGGAAGGCCCTTCCTCAGGGTCACACGGCAAATCCTAATGGAAGTGGAGTGTGAACGCAATCTTCTGGCTCAGCCCTCTCCCCACCCCGTGCTACCCCAGCCCCTCTCTCGGCTCCCTCCTGCTGCAGTTCTGCTAGGGTTGCCTGCGGGTACTGACAAGGACCCCTGGCTCAGAGCCTGGCACAGGTCCCTACCTGAGAAAGCCTTATTTGCCAATATTGATTGGGGTAAGGTCGGGAGGGCAAAGACAGTGTGAGCAGCTTTTCCTGGGGTGGGGGAGGGAAAGAGTCACAGTGGGGAAAGAGAGGGACCAGAGTATCTGGGAGAGAGGTTAGGGGTGGGCTGAATCTTGCTGGGTGTGGAGGAAGCCCTGCTTGGGGAAAGATAACTTCCATTTTTGCCTTCAAGGGGAGCAAGAAATCTGTGCAGTAGAATCAAAAGAGGGGAAAGAGGGGACAAGCCCCCTCACAAGAGAGTCCAGGCAGGGCTGGTCCTGGCAGTGTGCCCAGGCATTCACTGACACTTAGTGGTCCAGGCACTGCCTGGTGATGAGATTATGGCCTGGCAGGCCCAGACAAGAAGCCCCAAGATGGACTGGACCCCCAAGTGAGGACTCCACCATCAGGCCACCACCCCAGTGCTGTCTCAATTCAATGTAAGCGCCTCTGTGTGATCAGCAGAGACACACTCTCAGTTTTGCAACAGAGAAGGAACATTAAGAACAGGCGCCTGCATTTCTCCCTCCCTCCTGGATCCTGCAATAGATCCCATAAGTGGGAGCTGGGCAGAGATATCAGATATGTGGGTTCAATAGGACAGCCCTGGAGGGTGGAGTTGGCTAGCACCATTCAGGAATAGGAGAGCTGAGGAGTGTCTTCTGGAAGCTTGCTGGGTCTGGGGAGGAGTCTTCCAGCTCCTGGTGAGCCACCCCCAGCTCACCCTCACCCCTCCTCTCAAACTAGGAAGTATGGACTCTCCTTCCCCCTCCCCATACTTCCCCTGCTGACTTCCTCAACATCCCCAAGGCAGTTGATGTTGTACTCACTCTGGGTGCCAGGAGAACCCACACATCTTTGCATCCTTCTCTCTGGTTCTCTTGGTCCTGTCTTTGGCCCATGGCATTCTGAGATCAAGACTCTCTCTTCTTAATTTTCATTCAGCTTCCTAATTTTCGCCCATCTAGCTGTCAGAAAAATCTGCACAGACCCACGCAGTCCAGCTCAGGGCAGGGAATGGGTGATTGGGGTCATCATCATCAGCTTTGAGGAGCACCAGAGGCCCCCACCTCCACAAACACATGCATGTACTCCAACCCCAATTCTTCTGTCCTAGGGGTGTTGGCAGGCAGTTGATACATTTGCATAATACCTGTAGGTAATTTGTTCCTCAGTCTGGATAAAATAAATGAAGACCCTCTTCCCTTCCCCCTTACACCCTCCCTCCACCCTTGTGAGTTTTCAGGCATTCTGGGGGATTCCGCTGGCCCATTTGAGAACAGAGCCCAGCAAGGCAGAATCTATCTGCTCTGGGAAAAGCAGGCACCTTCTGTCTGCTCAGCATCTGGGGGAGTCGGGAGGGCAGCAGGTGGGTGCTGGTGAACTCAGCCCTCCGCAGCAGCAAGGCTTTTTGCTTCCAAGAAAGGAGCTGGAGGTTGTTGCTAGGTCCCATGTCAATGACCAGCTGTGTAGCCCCAGGCAGGTCACTTTTCCTCTCTTGGCCTGAGCTTGCCATCAGTGTAGACAATTGCTGTCTATCACTCAGCCCTGTCCTGGCAGCAGGTGAGTCCATTCCAAGGTGTGGTGGGGTGGGGGGCAGTCAGGATAAAGACCCTGGGTGCCGGCTTCTCCACCTAAGAACCTTCCAAGTTCTGGTTGCCCCAGATTCCAGGGTTGAGATGGGGGGAGGCTGGTGCTGGGGGAAGTAGAGGAGGGGTCAGAGACGATAGTGGGAGGGGGTGATGTGGGGAGGGGTAGCAGGCAGAACAGGTGGAATCAGGTATCTGGAATTTACACTAAGAAAAAATAAATCCTCTGTTTTTGCAGGATCCCTGACTACTGCCCCCAGCACACACTGGGTCCCCCTCATGCTCTGCAGACACGTGACCCTCCCTGTGCCACCTGTCTCCAACAGCTCAGCCTTGGTCTCCTCATCCACAGACTCCGTTAGGAACACCACCTCAGCTTGGCCTCGGGGGCTTAATGGGCTGACTTATGGAGCAGGCACAGACCCTTTATCAACCAGGCAAGCAGGCAGCGCTGGGCAGGCAGGAACTGTCAGTGGAAGGGCAGGGGCAGCGCAAGGCTGGAGTCTGCTCTGTGCCCGGGGTCAGCCTTGCTGAAGCAGGCTCCAAGTCCCCCAAGCACCCCTAAATGTACCCAGTGAAAAACTTCTGCTATACGCATATGACTCTGGGGGGCAGATAAAGTCACTGTGAGCCTGCAGACCCCCGCCCCTGCCCTCATCCCCTCCCTCCCTTTACTTCTTAGTCCTTCTCTCCTCCCAAAGCCCCTCCTGGATTTCCCCACTGGCCTCTCACACCAACAGTCTCTCCATGTACAGAGGCGTGGGCTAGAGGGACGGCAAAGTGGGAGCATTCCTGAGGGAGCAACACTGCAGTTCCCTGATCCAGGACTGAAGCCAGCCCCGCATCCCTTCTAGACCCCTAGGGAAGGGATGTCAGTTTGGCTCTGGTCCAGGGAGACATGGGGGACTTTAGGATTGTCTCTTTCCCTTCCCAGCAGGCAGGAGGCTATTTTGGTTCTGGTCTCATTTTTTTTAGCATTGTTCTGGCCAGTGTGTAAGTATGAGGAGGAGGTGGGGGGTGGAGAAGAGGAGGGGGAGGTTGAGCGGCAGTCAGGTTGGAGGGCAGAGTCTCTGGGGGCCAGGGATGCCTGCAGGTCACCTCCCAGCCTGGCCTGCCCCTGTAGAGATGTCCTTGAAGCTACCCCTTTCTTTTCCTTCCCTCCCACCTCCCCCTCTGCAAATTTGGAATCTAGGTCTCTCTGCCTCCATCTCCCTCCTTCCTCTCCCAGGTCAGAAGCGCACGTGGGGGAGAAGCTGGGTCTGTGGGAAGGAGCCTCCACGCGGCTGAGTACTCCCGTGTGACTGCGCATTTGCGAGGGCAGGGCAGGGCCGGGGTAGGCAGCTGAGCCCCCCCACCACACTGCACAGAACTGTTCCCAAATCCTGCAGGGGGAATGTTGCCTTCCTTCCTTTCTTAATCACATCTTTCATTTGTTCGTTCATTCATTCAGTCCTTCTACTCAACAAACACTTGTTGACCCCTTTTAGCAGCAGCCAGTGAGCTCAGCACTTGGGGACCTAGAGCCATGGTAGCCCCCACAGTCTCCACAGAGCTCCCAGTCAGTCAGATGGTAACTTAAGACACAGCAACCCCTTAGCATCGCAGCCCCCTCCTGCGGGGATCAGGGGCAGGATCAGGGGCGTCCTATACTGGAGCTTGTCTTCCCGGCCCCCTGACCCAACCAGCACTTCCCTTTGTTGGTGCTGGTGATGGCAGGATCTTTGTGGACCCCCTGCCTTCGTGGCTTGACCCCCCTCCCCCCCCCCCACTCCTTGAACTTAGCAGAACAGCCTCAGACACACAACGTGGCTGAGAAGGAGGCTCTTGGGGACTCAGAGAATGGCCCCTCATTTAGCCAGTAAGGCTCAGCCCTGGCTCATCGTGTATATGCTTCCTGTATGAGATTTTGCTTGAGCATTAGATTTTAACTTCTGGTTTGGAAATCTTGAAATCTGAGATTG